TGGTAGTCTCGACACAATACTTAAATGCCAATATAACAAAAATAAATTCTTATAAATGTAGCTAGATAGATGATGATTTTGATAGTTAGTTGTCAGGGTGATCTTACTATATTTTTCGCATTTAAGTATTGTTTCGAGACTATCAGTAAATCAGTAGTATGAGATGCATTCACCAAATTTCGTTTAAGCTCATGAAGGACTGGTAGAAGAAGAATTTTCCCACAATGATATGAATTGAGCTGACGTTTCCATTGCTTTACTAAAAGTTATTCTCATCCAGACAGAAATGGACCTCAGTTTCGACCTCGCCTCGGTCTTATCATACTACTGATTTACTGATAGTCTCGAAACAATACTTAAATGCGAAAAATATAACTTTCAAAATGATTCTCTATTTAGCTACTTTTATAATAATTTTTTTGTTATATTCGGTACAGGCATACAAAGCTGGGACTGCAGTCCACTTTGGATGAGAACAACTTTTGGGAAATCAAGTCTGTGTGAAATTGAACGGAAACGTCAGCTCAATTCATATGATTGTGGCAACATTATTCTACCAGACCTTCACATTTATGTCATTTTGCCAAAAATCGAATTAACACAATCTCAGCAGACGACACGTCTGCTGGCACACATGGTTTCCCTCACATGGTTGTGGGAAAACTATTCTACCAGTCTTCTATGACCTTAAACGAAATTGGGTGGATAGCTCTCATACTACTGATTTACTGATAGTCTCGAAATTCTACTCTAATACGAAAAATGACATCAGTAACAGCAGCATCAGCATCAGCATCATTTTCCCCTTACGCTGTTTAGGATGACGACAACCTTTACAAAATTGGTAGCCTTCATCACGAAGTTTGCCACGGAACATGACCTGACTCGAGGTTGGCCATGCTTACCCAACTTTCTTTTCTGCTTCCGCGCAGATATCAAATTGGTTGGTATCGTTGCTGGCCGCTATTCTCGGCTCATCGCTTGATGCATTCGATCCTGTTGCACTCACCTTCTGCCTGCCCACGTGGGAGAAAATGACTAAAATCACACACCACCACCTACTCATCGACACTACTACTCGTTTTGTCTTTCAGCCCGTGTCGGACGGACACACGGACACACATACACACAGACACACATACAGTTTGCAAGAGTCATCCCCGTTCCGGTGGGCTCTAGACACATGTTCGTTGCGTCACGTGGTCGTGATTGTCCATTCGAAGGGTCGGTTGCCAAGCCGACATGTGACACCAGCACGGCAACCAGACTTTGAGCCGGCCTTTTTGACAGAGCCGATGACCGTGGTGGTACCACAACGCGTCGTCAATGTGTCTTTTTTGTTTTGTTTTTCTCTTGTCAACTATATGCCCCAACCAACCCTGTGCTGGAGGCATGACAAAGCACAATGGCATAACCAGCCACACAGACGCACAGGTCCGAAGAGAAAGACATACTTCACCTGTAAACACTGACACACACACACACACACACACACA